CAGCATGGCAGCGAATCTGCGGGGCCGGGGCCCTGGTCCGCACCACTCTCCATTCAGTGTTAGCTGTAAACAGGCCGCAGTAGTTTCCTGCTTTCCAGAGTCCAGCAGAGCTGTGACATCAGTGACGCACCTGGGTGGAGAGGTGGCCGGGCCAGCGATACACACTTCTAGTTTGACTGCCGCTATCTCAATCAATCACTGGTCTCTGGACAGACTAACATCTTGTGATGGGTCAAGCCCAGGTCAATCCCAGCAAAAGGAAAATAAAAAATGCGTGCACACACACTGTGCCACTTTCATCTTCTGTGCCAGAAAGGGTGCAGGGACCAAAGTGAAGGAGTGATAAGCAGACAGAGGGAAGGACACCAGGCAGTGATGAGCACAGCACAGGGCCAGGCCAGGGGGTCTGGCAGGCTGGATCTTATGGTGGCCCCAGCCACCATGCATCTCCCTCCTCTGCTGGGAGACAGAGCACAAATGGCCTATTTCTCTACAGTCCTGTGAGCTTCCCTGACCCCAGAAATATCCCAAATGGGACTGACCACCACATAAATGCCACAGGACAGCTTGAAACCTTCTGGGTGAACTGCCAGGCTGTGGAACGCTGAGAATGCAGCCCAGAGTTGGTCAGAAATGGCTTTGATGGCGTAACTCTATGTCCCAGGTTTGTCTATGAAAAAAGAACTCATCTTCTAAGATCTTCAAGAGTCTCTGACTGTCTCAGTGAGATGTGTGAGGAAATGGGCATCTGCTAGGGCTTCCCGGTGGGTCTGACGCTTCTCCATGGCAACTGCCTTGAAAATGCAGGGTTGTTTTAGAAAGCACTGTGGGAAAGAAAGGTGTCACACCTCCTCTCCCCACCCCCCAAAAAGCATGCAGGAAGGGCCCAGGGGCAAATTAACATGGAAAAAATATGTAAGTCTATCATCAAACAGAAGTAAGAATACGTATGAAGCGTACTGGGAATAAAGAATTATTTTAGGAAGGAAAACTTAGCTCCCTTAAAGGATGTGGAAACCATCACCAATGGCTCTAAGAATGGTGGCAAAGGTCACACACGCCCAGTCTGGGAGTCCTTGTACGGGTTGCTTCTATAAAAACAGCACGAGGAAGGGAGATTCACTGGCGCTGCTACCAGTTAATGGCATTTATTATTATTATTATTATTTGTGTTGCCCAATGCTAACTGAAGCAATAACTAAATAGAACCAGATGAAATAATGCAACAGGAGAAAAAACTGTGGCCTACAAGTAAAAGTAAATATTTGGAAAGCTAAAACTGCAGGGGGAAAAAGCTGAACTGGCCAGCACCTTTCCACGTGGCCCCCCAAAGTTTGCGACACTGGAGATGTTTAGGGTTTGAGGAGGGAGTCTCTAGGGTTGGGATTCTCCGGCTTTAGACCTCTGAGGTAGCCAGAGGAAAGAGGGCATTTCTTTCTTTGTCATGAGCCCACCGCCTTGTCCTGTGTGGGCTTACTTAGCGTCTACAGTAAGGCCCAGGTGTCTAGGGCCCTGCATGCTGTAGGTGTTCAATAACAACTTGCTGCATGAATGAACGAACACTTCTCATCCTGAGGTCAGTCTGCACTGACTTTCTGGAACTGGTAGAAGAACGTGAACTTCAGCCACACTCTAATCAGCCTGTGTTGAGTGACTATGCACCACAGTGATTCATTTTACTAGAATTTTCCCACCTACAGGAGCCAGCGCTCCCCACTCCCCACTGTCCCCATTCCCTCTCCCTTGGTCATCTCAGCAGGAAGTCACCATACTGACTCCCACACCAGTGATGAATATGTGAAGCATTTCAGGGCTCAAGTAAAAGTAAATGGCAGCCCTTATTAGGAGATCCTGTTCCCCCCCCCCCCCAGCGGCTTCCTGCCTGTCATAGAAAGCAGTTCTCCAGGCCGCCCCCCCAGGCACAGGTTTCCTGCCCTTCAGGAACTTCTTTAGTCAGGCACCACTTCCTTCCTCCAGCCTCACACCCAGTGGTGTCAGGAGGATCTGACCACGGGGTGTTGACGCTCAGGGTGACCCCGAAGCTGAGGGGGTGAGATAGTGGCGCATGACAGAGGGCTCGCCTCAGGAACCTGGGAGCTGCGGTGCTCTGAGGCCATTCCACACATTCATTTCCTAACTAGTCACAATTCAGAGTGACGCTGGGAACAGCCGGCTGGTCTACTGTTTGGACGTGAGCCAAGGCTGACAGAATTCTGATTTTCCAGAACTGTGTGGTCTTTACCTGGCGTTGGATGTGGTGTCCTTAACTAGGGTGGACGGAGGTTCATGTTAGATACTCATATTATATGTAAGATTTTAAATTATACTGTGGCTTTTATGCAATGGTTATTGAATGTTCAGAAATGAATTAAGGAAGAATTCCTTAATTGTACAATTTTTATACCATTTTCCTTGTTAATTTATGGCTATCTACCTCTACTAGCTGTAAGGTGAGAAAGCTTCACATTGGGGCTCCCCTACCCCAGAGCAGAGTGCTGTGTGCAAACTTGCTGAATGAATGAATGTGTTGGGGGAATTACCTGGGATTTCAAATCTGCCTGGGGCAAGACAAGACACACTGTGGATGTTTTTTTTTTTTTTTTGAGACAGAGCCTCAAGCTGTCCCCCTGGGCAGAGTGCCATGGCATTACAGCTCACAGCAACCTCCAACTCCTGGGCTCAAGCGAGTCTCCTGCCTCCGCCTCCCAAGTAGCTGGGACCACAGGCGCCCGCCACAACGCCCGGCTATTTTTTTTTTTTTTGGTTGCAGCCGTCATTGTTGTTTGGCGGGTCCGGGCTGGGGATTCGAACCCGCCACCTTAGGTGTACGTGGCTGGCGCCTTAGCCGGTTGAGCTATAGGCGCCGAGCCACACACTGTGAATGTTACATCCACTGTCTCATACTCTGTTTGGGCTCCCCACTGGAGCTCCTACACTGCCTGGCTGGCCTCTTACCCTCAAGCTAAGGCCTTTGCCAACTGAAGCCCAGGAGTGGACTGGTCACCACAGAGGCCATTCTTATACCCATTTTTGTTGACTGAGGCATAATATAAATTATATATTATTTTATAAATTATATAAAATTCACCTTTTAAGGTATACAGGCCTATGAGTCTGGCAAAACATACAGTCATGGCCCTACCACCACAATCAAAATATACGGTCTTTCCATCAGCCCAAAATGCTCTCTGGAACCCCTCTGTAGTCAACCCCTCCTCCAATCCCCAACTTCTAGCAATGTATGCCCGAAGTGTCATTCAGAACTCATTTTATTTGAGCCTTTCTCTTATAATACCACGCTTGGCTAATTTTCTACTTTTTTGTACATATGGCGTTTCCCTATATTGCTAAGGCTGGTCTCGAACTCCAGGCCTCAAGCAAGCCTCTCAATTCAGCCTCCCAAAGTGCTGGCATTACAGGCATGAGTCACCATGCCCAGCTGGTAGCTACTTTTAAAATGTCTCAAATTCACCTCCACTGTCCATATCTACACACTGGATTGTCTCTGGCTGCAGCTGATGTAACCCTCCTGGTCTGGTTCTCTTTCCTCTAAACATTCTCCACATTGCTGCCAGAACTATTTTGCTAAAATACACATCAGACCACATTCTTCTCCTCCTTGTTAAAAAAAAAAAAAAAAAGAAAGAAAAACAAATAACCCAAGAAATAAATAAAACCCCTCAAACCTAGAGAGGCTCTCCAGCGTGTATGGGATGAAGTCCAAGTTCCCTAAGATGGCATTTGAGTTCCTCAACAATTTGGCGCACTTTTGTTCTCCCAGTCCCATTTTCCAGCCTCCCTGTTTAACTCGGGCCACAATGGACCACCCCACACAGGGGCCTCATGTACTTCTGTGCCTTTGAGGGAAAACTCACTCTTTCTCCAGTTCAGAGGTTGAGCCCTTTGTGAAACCTTCCTGAGCCTCCTCTTCCTCCTGCCTCTTTCCCGATAGAATTAGCGATTGCTTCCCCTGGGCTCTGAGGGAATCTGAATGCCCACACGGCCCTCTCCAGACGCTTCTCTCATAATCCCCTGTGCCTCACATGAAGAATGCAAAAAATGCTTATTGAAAACATTTTGTACAATATTAGAAGACGTGTGTAAATATCATGTCCAGAATTCTGCACTCTTGGTCCATCCACTGCTTGTTGGCATCATAAGAACCACATGGTTTATTACAAAAAGTTGTTCTAATGTGTGGGCTCAGATCAGTTTGTAATGATCATATTGAGGAGAAAGAGGAGGAGTTAGAATTTATTTTGTTCTAAACCTAATCCAGGAGCACTTCCATGTCAAGAAGCCATATTTAGGCCACGGGTCTGTACGAAGGAAGGCTGTCATCGTGTGGCTGTAATGAGGGAGTTTATGTATGAAGCCCATCACCATGGATTTTAAGTGCTTTGATAGGTTTTTATGTCTCTGCTCATCTCCTTTTTCCCATAGATAACCTGAAATAGCATGATGACCACCTAACAGCAATGCAGTCTCATCACAATGATGTTGAAAATGAGAACTAACAGATTTTCTACACCAGAGCCTTCCACCTGATGTGCTGGGGAGGAGGGCGGCCAGGGAGGTGCTGACTGCCATCTCTGGGGTGGCTGGGCTGGTCCCGCCTGGCAAGAGCAGTCGCCCGCCTTCCCCCCACCGAGGGACAACATCGCTGCTCTGGTTGACACAACAGGAGGAAGGTCGAGACACACTGTCCTAAGCCATTTTATCACCCAAACAGCAGACTGAATTTTCCCCGGCTATTCTCTTCTTCGTGTTAGGAGGGAAATCAGTCCTGACAACATGGGTCCTGAGCACATGATCTAAAAAAAGAAAATCCAAACCACACTGCAGAGGTTTTTTTGGTGGAAAAGCATTAAGGAAAACAGCTAATCCTATACTCCTAGTTACCCCCTAATGCATGACTGGGAAAGAGTTGGCAGAGCACGATGATTTCAGGCCCTGCGACAATACAGAACAGGGGTGTTTAGAGACTGTTACTCACGCACCGTTCCAACCAGCGGGTAAATGAACCCAGCGCCGATGCTGGCCCGGACATCGCTGATAGGTAAGATGAAATCCTTCGGCACACCTTTTTTGTCAGGTAGGTGAGACAGAGAAAGGTGGGTCTTTGCCATGCAGATAGGCAAATTTCCAAAGCCCTGTAAGAGAGGAGAAGTGTTCACTGTCACAGATGCTAGCCGCCTGTGCTGGTTTAACTGGCCCTGCATAGTCTCAGCCGCAGCAGTGTCGGCTCAGACCCAGGCACACAAGGTAGCTGCTTGTTACTACTTGTTCATGAAACAAGAAGTTGACGGTGAAAACTCATCTCCACGTGATCACGACTGTGCCGGTAGAGGATGACCATTGTTTATTTTGGCAGTTCTCTTTAAGATAAGGCAGCATGATGAGGACACGTGGGAAAGCGTGGCTATTTCCCTGCAAATCAGCTGTAGAAACCACTTTCCAAGGCTATTAATACCCAGGACCCAGCAAGGTAGTCTGAAGAAAGGCTGAGGAAGGAGGCTTCTGGTCATGTTGTTCCCTCATTCTTGGAATCCGTCAGGAAGCAAAGGCCCCTTTTGTGCTGGTGTATGAATCATGCCTATTTGATCTGCGATTACATTATAGGAACCGAGATGAGGTCACTGCTTAAGCCTCTTATTTTTAAGGACCAAAGTCTATGTCTGACCCAGAGTTCCAAAGGTGAAAGGGCAGGAAGTCACATGTGCTGTCTCACAAAAAGGACACTGTCTTTGACGCCTGGTTCTGATTAAAGGGCACATAGAGTCCCCTTAGAGACTTGGTTAATTAATTGCAACCGCATACATGACACTTAACTTTTAAGGAATATTCCCTTGAAAGAGATAAAGGGGATGCAATCTTCAGAGGTAACCACATGGAATTTCTAATGATTCAACAGTGAACTATTTGGAAAATTTTAGAGTTTTATCAAATTGGGGAGGGGGGACGTTAGAGCCATTCTATTTTAGAAATTTTTACTCTAGGGCTCAGTGCCTGTAGCTCAGTGGTTAAGGTGCTGCCTCATATACCAGGGCTGGAGGGTTTGAACCTGGCCCAGGCCTACTAAACAATGACAACTACAACAAAAAAATAGCCAGGCATTGTGGTGGGTGCCTGCAGTCCCAGCCACTTGGGAGGCTGAGACAAGAGAACCGCTTAAGCCCAAGAGTTTGAGGTTGCTGTGAGCTGTGATGCCACGGCATTCTACCGAAGGCCACATAGTGAGACTCTGTCTCAAAAAAAAAAAAAAAAAGACCAAAAAAAGACCAAAAAGAAAACTGCTAAGGGACAATCACAACTGCCCTACAGAAATGGTGCCAGAATTTAGGTTTCAGTAATCAGTCAAATATTAAAATAATTTCTATGGATTGGTAAAAGTTTGCCAATTAAAAATTTTTTGCCTGTGGGGATATTAAAAAAAATAGTAGCCAATATGCCACACCCCATCAACCCATTACATTATAATAGAAAGCACATTTTAAAACTAAAAAAAAAGAAAAGATTTAATATTAGAATTAATAACAGTCCTAAACAACCTTGTTAAAAACTCATAGGAAAAATAACCCAACAAACCAAGCTCATGGCCTAATCTTACTCAGCTGATAGCAAACAAATGAAAAATATTTCCACGAGGCCAGTGTATAGAGCAATGTCTGCGAATCCCTTTTGTGGCAGATAAGAGCATACGAGGGACATTCTAAGAAAATCTGAGCTGCTTAGTAAACCTGGGAGGCTACGCCTGGTTAGCAATGGTAGCATTTAACAATATATTAAACAGGATTTACAAACAGGATTAAGGATTTGAAGAATTAAGAAAAACCAGATCAGTGCTACCCATAATGAAGTTCTCTCGTCAGCAAGATCTCTTCCTTCTGTTTTCCTTTCTTTCTTTCTATTTTTCTTTTTTTTTTTTTTTGAGACAGGGTCTCCCTCTGTCACTCCGGCTGGAGTGCAGTGGCAGCATGATAGCTCTCTGTACCTTCAAACTCTTGGGCTCAAGCGATCCCCCAAGTATTTGGGATTATAGGTCTGTGCCGCCACACCTGGCTAACTAAAAAACAAAAATTCTTTTTATAGAGAAGAGGTCTCGCTTTGCTGCCCAAGGTGGTCTTGAACTCCTGTCCTCAAATGATTCTCCTGCCTTGGTCTCCTGAAGTGCTGGGATTACAGGCATGGGCTACCCATCCAGCCTGCCAGCAAGCTTTTGAAGAGCTCTGACTCCTATCGTATTATGTGAGACTGGATGCAGCACTCAGCAGATGGTTTTTTGGTCAGGGTGGCTGAATGCCCTGCAATGGAGTGATTATGACCGTCACAGGACTAGGTGACTCTTGCTGCTGGAGTCACAGCTGTGGCCATCCCCACAGCTGCTTGCCCAGAAGTAGATGATGATGGAGCCTTCAACTTCAGGGGACAATGTCAGCAAGAAGCCAACGAAACACCATCTTTACATGCTGTGCTCCTGAGTGCCTGACCAGGTGCCAAGCATGACAGATCATCTAATCTGAAATCACACAGGCACCCCAAAGGACGGCAGGAATAGAGATCATCCATCACATACAAACATGGACACCACCACATACATTAGACACATCAGAGGTCAATGCCGCATCTATCAGAGGATATACACCTTCACCACAGTGTTCTAATACAGACAGCACCCTCTTCAATCTTTATTAACTATAAGGGACATAAAGCGAAGTTCAGCTGATAAGGCAGATACCACAAATCCTCAAGACAAGGTAAATATTTAGACAGCCAATGGTGGATTCCACCCCCCCCCTTTTACCTGTTGAGTGTAACGATCTATTTTGGATTGTGCCACGGGAGAGAGTTCAATATCTTTGGCTCCATAGACGGCCTGGGCAATGGTTCTTATCTTTTCCACAATTGGAAGCTGGAGAAACACAAAAGACAACAAAACTGTTGACTTTGATGTGGCTGAGGAATGGAGGGGAAGCCTAGTGAGAGCTCCTGTAATCGCTTACAATTCCCTATGAGAACCACCCTCAGCAACCTCGGCAGTTTGTAGCAAACCCTCTTTTCTCTATCGTTCTTAAAGAAGTGAAGTTTTCAGATAGGATGTCAACTAGCAAAGAAGAGCCTTAGATGTTCAGCAAATTTAGAGGCTGTTTATCTAGTTATAACCATTTTTATGCTGTACTTTAAAGAATGTAATTTATACTATGCTTTTTAATGATCACATATCAGAAGATGAGTGTCCTAATTAAATTGTTATTGCTTGGATTTATGTGGGTCTGAATAGTGGTTCATATTATTGCCAAAGAAGGTTGCAAAACTAAAGAAAAATGTATTTTTCTGAAAGCAGGAATGAGTTGAGATTTTAATATAAATGCTGATGTGATCCAACACTGTGTTGGAAAATTAGAAGCTGAACTTACTGTCACTTTAACAAATTATGAGCTATCCATGTGGTGCAGGAAAAATGTGAGAAGATTAGAAATGGGCAAATAAATGTGGGCAGGGAGATGATTTCCATATGCTGCATGGAAATCCTGGGTGCAGATTGCTGGCATAATACGGAGTGATCTTAAGAAACGGAATGGTTCATTAGGAAAGGAATATTCCAGAGATAAAGTGATTCTTAATCGAAGCAGAGCATCTGATATTAATAATTTAACCTTGGGTAGAAAAGACATAGTCATGACGCAGCTAGTGGATTTACTGCTTGGTGGGCAACTGTTGAATCAAGTGCTAATTAAGTGGACGTCAAGCCGGGGGCAAAAGTGTGCTCGGCATGCCTGAAGGACTGTGCCTAGCAATGGCAATGGCACATTTGTGTGAATTACTGTTAATACTGGACAGCACATTAAAATCTAGCACCCTCTACCTTCTGAACCCTACTAGAATCCCAAGCTGCTTTAAAACGTGTTTTCCATTACTATAGGTTTGCTTACCGTAGGGTTATCCTGTGATCTGGAACTTAAGCATTGGACAATTTAACAAATAAAAAGAACACAGGTGCAAGCCTTGGTAACCTTTCACTGAAGGACATGAAAAGGGTCTGAATCAATGGAGAAAAATACTTTGTTCGTGTACACACTATAGACGCCAGTTCTCTTAAATGTATCTCATTAGTTCCTGTGATTCCAATAAAATTCCCATGATCACTTTTGCTTACTTGGAAAACTAGTTATAAAACTCATAATGTATAGTCCATAAAGTAGAAGGGAAGAGGAGAGAGAGGGGTGGGGAGAGGGGATATGGGAGTAGGGAGGGTATTCGGGGGGACCTCACGTAATGTGCATGATGCAATGGTGCATTTCAAAACTATTAAGAAATGAGTATAACTGTGATGGATGTGTTACTTGGTTCAATGTAAACATTTCACATTGTATATCGAAGCAGTACCCTGAACCCCATAAATGCATCAATGTACAAAGTTACAATTTAATAAAAACTAATTAATTATAAAAAAATAAATATTTCAAATTGTGTATAAAACCAGCAAAAAAAAAAAAAAAAACCTCATAATGAAGAGTAATGGCATCAACAGGTAAGATAACTTAAAAAAAAAAAAAGAACAAATGAAAAGGATTTCTCTACCAGATATTAATCACAGTATGAACCTACCCTAATTAATTCCATGGGTACTGGATGGGAAGAGAAATCAATGAATGAAACAGAGGACAGCCCCGCAGGCACAGGACAGCAGGCATAGTATCATGGGCACAAATCAGCTGAGAGGGCTGAGGACCCACTGACTTTTGGCTGGAGAGAAATAAAATTGGGTTCCTATACACACCAACTCCCCAAATAAATCCAATATGGAACAAAGGCCTAAACTTGAAAAATAAAGCTCTCGGCTGGTGCAGTGACTCATACTTGTAATGCTAGCACTCTGGGAGGCCTAGGCAGGTAGATTGCTTGAGCTAAGGAGTTGGAGACCTGCCTGAGCAAGAGTGAGACTCCATCTCTACTAAAAATAAGAAAATGCCATGAAGGCTATGTTAACCAGTTTGATGAAAACATTTCAAATTGTATATAAAACCAGTACATTGTACCCCATGATTGCACTAATGTACACAGCTATGATTTAATAATAAAAAAAAATTAAACAGCTGCGCAGTGCAGCTCTGGGAAATAACTACGACCCATTGTTATATTGTGGGTACAGTCTCCTGCATAGAGCGGGCACATTGCAAACAACAGCTGGGGGACGACACGAAGGATGCCGGAGGATGGGCAGTCTTCGTGCTTCGTGTAGATATGGCGATCTACGTTCATAGAAGTCATTTAGAGCTAGATAGTATATCCTGCTTGAAAAGGTTCCAGAAATGCCCGCTGGAATTATGAAACTATTGAAGATCTGCTTTTCAGGGGAATAAAACTGATCTGTAAATACCAGAAAAGCATTATTTACATTTTTGAATAATTTTTTGCTAATTAAAAAGTAGAAAAAATAAAATGAAATAGAACAAAAGTTTAAAAATGAAGCTGCTAGAAATAATAGAAAATGGAGACTCCTGAAGGCTTTATAATGAAGCGCTATCCTGTCTCAGGTGGAGATCAGAGTCTAAAGTCAGCAACCCCGAAAATCTTTTAGAAGACCCAGAAAAACACCACATAATAGTCCACCATCACTACCCTTTCATCTCTTAATTAGCCCACATCATTGCTGAAGAGATAGATCAGGTCACACTTTCTTCAGCCCTACACCCAATGAAGTTGTTGGTATATATCATGCCAAATGAAAAATACGTAGCTAGGTGGCTCCTGTGGCTCAGTGAGTAGGGCGCTGGCCCCATATACAGAGGGTGGCGGGGTTCAAACCTGGCCTCGGCCAAACTGCAACAAAAAATGGCCAGGCGTTGTGGTGGGCACTTGTAGTCCCAGCTACTTGGGAGGCTGAGGCAAGAGAATCGCCTAAGCCCAGGAGTTGGAGGTTGCTGTGAGCTGTGATGCCAGGGCACTCTACCAAGGGTGATAAAAATACATTGTTCATTGGGTTTCACCAAGGCCAAGTAGTTGACTAATGTGGCTTAAATGTTCCATGCCATGATACTGGCAAAAAGTATGCCAGTGCCCATAAAATATGTAAAGAAAATGATCAATTAACAAACTTGCAAGTTGGACAGTCATTTCTGGACACACAGCAAATTATTTTGATTTGTATTTTGTATTTTAAACGAAGCATAAATTTTAAATGATCTAAAAATTATTTTAGAGGCTGTTTTGGGAAATAGTCCTTCCTGTACTTCAAACACAAGGACAACATAACAATCCCAATATTAGTTTACACGGACCACTGCACACAAAGTGCAAGGTTGCATTATAAACCCCACCCCCCACCCCCCGGAGGCCTGGGAGCAGTCCTGCCACTGTTACTGAGAACAGCGGCCCCTGTAGTTGTGACACAAAGCATGTCCTTGGCTGGAAACCTACACATCTGAGCTACCAAAGGTATGTATATGTGCTGACATCCTCATTCTGAGTGTCAGGCCCTAAGCAACAGGTTAACTGGGAAGACTCCGGGAGGAGTCTAATTCTCCCGAGGCAAGTGTGGTGTGTTGTGGGAAGAACTGCAGTCTGGGAAATGAAAAAAAAAAAAAGCTCATTGCCAGAAAATCTGAATTTGTCCAGAGGAAATTATGACAGTAAAGAGTTCACATGGGTGATCTTTTATTACTCCTAAGTGGACCTTTAGAGCAATGTCAGAGGAAGGGCGTATATACAAACAGGTGATTTTAAAGATTGGGTCTCACGGACTGGGGGGGTGGTTCATGCCTGTAATCCTAGCATTCTGGGAGGCTGAGGGAGGAGGATCACTTGAGTTCAGGAGTTCCAGCCCAGCCTGAGCAACAGCAAGACCTCATTTCTACTAAAAATAGAAAAACTAGCTGGGTGTTGTGGTAGGTGTCTGTCGTCCTACCTACTCAGGACACGATGCAGGAGGATTGCTCGAGCCCAGTAGTTTGAGGTTGCTGTGAGCTATGATGCCGGGGAACTCTGAGTGAGACACAGTGAGACACTGTCTCAAAAAAAAAAAAAATAAAGATCTTGTCTCCCCCAAAAGAGGGAGAGAGGCTGACAGTGGCCTGAGCTCTCTGCTGGGCTTCCTAACACTCACACATACCTGCTTCTTCCCCTTTTACAAATCTGACTTAGAAACCTTGGTATGGCAAGGAGCTAAGAGTCCCACTTAAGGGCAAACAACTTATGGAAAAGAAAAAAGAGATCAGTTTCTGAGAAAATCATTTTTTTTGAGACAGAGCTTCAAGCTATCCCCCTGGGTAGAGTGCCGTGGCATCACAGCTCACAGCAACCTCCAACTCCTGGGCTCAAGCTATTCTCCTGCCTCTGCCTCCCAAGTAGCTGGGACTACAGGCACCCATCACAACGGCTGGCTTTTTTTTGGTTGCAGCTGTCATTGTTTGGTGGGCCTGGGTCAGATTCGAACCTGGCAGCTCAGGTGTTATGTGGCTGGCTCCCTAGCCACTTGAGCCACAGGCACCGAGTCTCTGAGAAAATCTTATTGCTCAAAACAAATCCCTCCACCTCTGGGAGCCTGCAGTGTCAAGGAGCCTGTGCTGTTTGGGAACGTTTTCTCCTAGATCCTAAGGTGGTTGTTTTCTCTCTTAAAGTGGTCCATTTCCCATGGTGCCGTTCGTGTTCACACCTGTGATAGCATTTCAAGTTCCTTGAGTGCTTGCTTTTAGGTTGAGAAAATGGATATGGGCAGTCCCCGAGTTACAAACATCTGACCAATGTACAACTTGAACAGAAGCTATTACAGGTAATAGGTAAATGTACCTGTCCCAACTTACATGCAAATTCAACTTAAGAACAAACCTACAGGACCCATCTTGTTTATAACCCAGGGACTCTCTCTATTACAATGGTCTCATTTCATCTAAATTTAAGTGGGAAGGCCAC